TCTGATTGGTAATGATCGGCTTCCGAAATTTGAAATTTATTAATAAAATTGACTATTTTTAAACACTATCAGCTCCCAAAAAAATTAAGCAATTAAAAAATTTAATCTGTGGAATTGAAAGAGAATCAATTAAAGTAATATTTGCACCATTTATTTTTTAAAAATTTTTAAAATTGGTGGACTAGATACAGTTAGAAGTCACATGAAAATTTTTGATGAGTATAGGTGATATGCACCATATTAATATTGTTTATTATCGCCACAAAATTATACTAACGATCGGCTAAATTTTGCAGTTGTCTCACAGAGCACGAATTAAGGAAGTTTTGCAATTATATATATTAAGAAAAAATAATAAGATGGTGATTGACATTTTTTATACCAAAAGACTCAGTTTATTTTAATTAAAATGTTTTTTAAAGAATATAAAAATGGATAAAATAATTGCATGAGATAAAAATTTTTCATTTAAAAATAAATTGTTTTATATGCATATGTGGATCAGATTGAATAGAAAATCTTACTGACAAATGGTTTCTGGTATTGATTTGGGAGTTAATTGTTATTTCCTTTTTTTATTCAAGAGAATTGTTTTGAAAGTAGGTCACTTATACATTAGAGAATGTTATTTCTTGATTTTTAATGATGCATTTAAAAAACAAAAAGGGTTCTTAAACAACAATAACAGATATACTCAGGGTGTAATTATAAATTAACATCAAAAAATTCATTATCACTGTCAGATTCATTATATATGATTATAATAATCCTAGCAACAACCACAATGTTATTGAATCATTAAAACCAATTTCTTTAAGTCTGAAAAACATCCTTAATAATTGTGGCAATGTTGTGACAATTCTTTGGCACATTAAAAACGGTAATATTAAACTTGATGATGTTGTATGTGAAATTGAGATCTTGTCCAATGCCAATTATGCCTAGCCTCAATATCAGATTTGTTCATTTTATTTTTGGAAATGAATTTAAGGAACTCTACAATTTGCAATAGTATACAATTAGGATGCACACTGCAAGAAAAGGGAACCAAGTAGAAAGTTGACTAGAGCTCTGAAACAGTCCGGGCTAACCCAAAACCCGAAAATTTTTTGGACTGTATCAATTATACTTGAAGTCAAAATTATTAATTAAAAACCCTAAAAACTTGCATTTTACCAACTATCATAATTTTATACAAGATGCAATTCGTGATGCAAGTCTCAATTCATGGTGCAAACATGATACATGACAATTTATTAGCTAACAAAACCTTTTTAGTTATGAAGCATTGATGTTACATTAAAAATTAAAAAATTAAAAAGTTTTCATGCAATAAATAAAGAGTTTTATATGTGGTTAAAGTTTGAATTAGTTCATACACACATCATGATTGTCTTGTGTAGTAATGGTGGCTGAAATTATTTTAGTAAATTGAAATAGTTTACCTATAGAAATTAGGAATTTAGGCTCCTAAACTAGTGACGAAACTTAAAAATCACCTAAACTAGGGCTAAGGTTGTGGTCGAAACCTCTTAATGACTGTTGAAACTCTGTCGAAACTCTAATGAACAATTAATGTGTAACCTGTCGAAACTCTGATGATTGGCGAAAACCCCAAATGCGAAACTCTGCTGAAACTCTAATAAACAATTAATGTGTAACCTGTCAAAACTCTGTCGATTGATTTCTGGAGGAGTTTCTCCCGCAACCTTAACTAGGGCAAACCCCTAAACTGTGGTTAAATTGACCAAAGTTTTATGATAAATAAAACGGATTTATCGAAGCGCCATCCAATTGTATTCCAGACATGTGATTTATATAGTTTTATATTTTTTTATTAATATTAATATTTTATATTTGCATTTTTATTATTTATTTAAACATATATTTATTAAAAAAGATTATCATAAAAATAATGTCATTTTTTGACCTAATTCGCTTTGTAATAATAAAACAAATCAATTCCTTTTTTTTGTTCAATAAAACACTTTTGTGGTTGGAAAGTAAACAGTAGAGTTTAATTGACCACTTGGTTTTCACCCACAGTTTAGGTTTTGCCAACTTCGCTGCAAAATTAGGCCTAAACTATGGTTAGTTCCAGTCATCATCCACTAGCCTTGTGTCTTGAATTACGTCTTGTGTCATGAATTGCCTTGAGTTACAGTTTTGTGTCATGAGTTGTGTTTTGCATCACACATAACACCAATTGCAGCTTTTAAACTGCTATAACTGTTTTACCTTTTATATTTAATTAATTATTGTTATCTAATTAATATAAAATCACAAAATTTTCTCATTAACCTGAAATCAACCCGAACCCAACCCGTTAAGAGTTTTAAATTTGACCACTAAAATTTTTCCACAACATCCTTGGATGGAACCATCATCCTACATGAAAAAGAAGATCAGATCAAAATGTCAAGGTTTATTTTCCCAACCCTGCCAATTTCTCATCTTTTACTCACCAGGACATTATGTGGCTTTTTTAAAAATCAGTTCCTTAAATTTCATTTCTGCTCTGCATGGTTTTGTTATTATTATCACTTGGGCAATGCAATCTATTTATTAATAGGAACATATTCAAATAATAATAATAACACATAATCATCATGAATATTATAACAAGCATGTAATTTATGGAGACAAATGCATTCACATTCAAGAAAAGGATTAAATAACAACAAAAAGGATAAGTGATGTTGATTTAACTAAGAGAAAAATACATAATAATTCTTAATTTATATATAAATATCAAATATTAAGATAAACCACCAGAGAAATTGCATAAGAGGAAAACATTTGAACCCAAATACAGGGTGTAACAAAACTTTTTGGAAAATTTTTCATGCATTTCAAACATTAATAACATTCTGAAAATAAAAACTATTCGTGTCATATTTTGAACACGTGAAAAATATGTACTAAACTAAATTAATACATGATTAGATCATTTGTTTTGGTTTGATTTTGTTGTAAAATTGTTAACGTAATGTCATCTTCTGATAAAGATACTCAAAGAAAAAGTATATTACAATTGTGGTAGAATGGAATAACTTCTGCAAAAGAAATACATTCCAGAACTGGCATTACAATGTCTACTGTCTATTATAACCTTAAAAAATTGAATGAAAAAGGTGTTAATTCGAGAAAATCTGGAGGTGGTTGTCCCAAAAAAATTACTGTGCATGAATCAAGAGCGATCGGCCAATACTTGCACCATGATCCAAGACTTTCCACAAGAACTTTGTCAAACAAATTATCAAACAATATCACCAAAGTGTCTCATATGACTATTTCAAGACATTTGGCAAGTTTAGGCTACAAAAATAATTTGCCTTTAAAGACACCTATGCTTACTGTTGCCCATAAAGAAGCTCGTGTTGGTTGGGCAACAAGACATCTTGATGACAACTGGGAGACCACTTTATTTTCTGACGAAACTGCCTTTCAGTTGTTCAGAAACACAATAACTCAATGGTACAGAGGCGAAAGGCCAGTATGAAGAATCCCCAAAGATTGCACTAAAATCTTTGCATGGGGAGGTTTTTGTATGCAAGGAAAAAGCTCTCTTTTTTGCTTCAGGGGAATCATGAATGCAAATTTTTATGTTGATATTTTGCAAAGGCATAAACAGGAAATTAATAGATTACTTGGAAGCAATTGGCGCTCCCAACATGATAATGATCCAAAGCACACAAGCAGGGTTTGTCAGACATTCCTCAATGAAAATTTTCCCGAAGTTATGGACTGGCCTTCCAATAGTCCAGACTTAAATCCAAACAAAAACCTTTGGGCTATTGTCAAAAGAAATCTAGAAATGCATATGCCTCAAAATCCTTCAGAATTAGAACAGTACATGACAGAAGAATGGGATAAAATCCCAAATAATATTCTAATCAACCTTGTCAGCTCAATGAGAAGGAGATGTGAGATGATAATTGAGAACAATGGTGAGAGAATAAACTATTAACTTTATATCAATAAAAACTTCAGATTTTAAGCTTTATTTTGACATATTTTTCATTCATTTTTATGTGGTAACTTTTGAGCTATGGACAAATAAAAAATTCCAAAAAGTTTTGTTACACACTGTACATTGATTATTCTTTAGCCACTCTGATGTAAATCTATTTTATATTTTCACTATTATTAATAATACTATTGCTATTGCTAATCCTTCATCTTCTATATCGTCATCTTTATATTATTCCATTCTTTATTAATTCCTTGTAAGGTTTTTAAATAGAATGCAATAATTATCCATCACATAATCCACATATTTCAGTTTTCATTTCACCAAATGAAAAATTTGGATTAAACTCAGTCTTTGTTAAACAATTGTTTGAAATCTTTTAAATTTCCCTTGGGTATTTTTGATCACCAGTTGGCTAGATTTATGTTTTTTTCTAGATCAATCTTTTGGTTGATATTATAGAGCTGATTTAATAGGTTTGATAATATAATGAAAGCCAATCAATCAACAATCACAAAAAAAAACTCACTTGCATTTTTATTAAGTATTTGTAGTTTATTTTTTATATTGATAATAATTGATAAAGATTTGGTTTTTTATATATATTGATTTTGATTTTGGGTTTTGTTTTACAATTGTAAAATACTAACAAGAATTATGGCTATGATTTTTTTAATATTATTAATAAAGGAAGAATCCAAGACAAGGAAGGGAACTAGGCATTCATTAACAAACATATTTAATTTTATCAAAAGTATTATTTGGTATGGTTGGTTCTGGAGATATGTTGTTTGTTAATAACCAGAGATTCTCTTTTTGCATTGATACCTTATTTTTTTTTATTGACCAATAGCCCAAATACTGCATTGAAAGTCAAAACATAGAATGGAATTTGTCATGTTGTCCCCTTATATGGTGATAGGTATAAATTTTTTTAAACAATTG